GTCATAGTAGTATTGAGGGCTTGTTGGTTTGTGACAACCCTCACCTCCCATCCAAGATGCTTCTTCAGTTCTAAATCCTGGGAGGTGGTCCTGAAGGTCGTATAAACCAATCTTAATTATGCGAGTCATTACATGACCGAAGGTGTGAAACAAGGCACTGGTGATTATCATCACAGGGGCCATGGTCTGAAATGCTTGTGAGAAATTGCCTTGGAAATTGCCATCAAATGAGCTCTTCAGGTCACATGACTCTAGGTGTGAGTGGGGGCTAAATCGCCTGGGAGGAGCTCTCAAGGCCGCACTGTAGGTGGTATCGCGGGCCGCTACGTCTTTTGTACAATGATCGTTCAAAGTCAATGTAGATGGCCTACTTTACTCCTCTTTCAAAGCGTCAAGTCTTCTCAGTCCAAAATGTGAAAATGAGCATCATCAAAAGAATGTCCTTTCTCCTTTAAGTGCAAATGTACAGCAGTGTCGTCCTGCTGAGCTGCCGCTTTTATGTAACATAGGAGCTAGCTCTCCCGAAGAAAAGCTTGCTACTAGATGAAACATTTTTCACCAAAAAGAAGTCCAGTTGCTTTCATTTCAAGCCCTCAAGAGTATCAAATGATAACATTTACTTGGTTCTTTTACTCTTTTTCTACTACTAATAACTCTTTCAACCTGTTTTTCCAATCGGGACAGTATGCTAATATGACACATTCAAAGTATTTTTCTGGTTTTTGGAATATTTGGTACCCAAAGAGAAATTTTAGCCAGCACTAAGGGGAAAATACCACCTGCCAGTTTCAGTAATTTACTAAAGTAGAATAAACAGTTTTGTTTGCCTGGTCTAAAATATCTAGAAATGCACAGATTCACTGCCTTTACGGTGCGTGATTCGATCCCGCTCACTATCAAGTCAACCCCCAGATGATGAGTTGAGTCCGGTTAGCTGGTGGATTTGCAATACACCAGTGAAAACCCTGTGATAGTCGCTCTGTACTAAAATACCTCTGCTTTGTAATATTGCTGATATCACAACAAAAGAGTCGGGCCAATGCACATCATTAACATGCTATTTGAGTGCCTCTACTGCACAAAATGCCAAGAGAATAAGTGCCCGCAGTTCCACACATTTCTCTCAATACATTTTGTCAATGATGCAAGGAAAGCGTGTGTGCAAGGACACTGGAAGATAGGAGGGCTGGGGTTCAGTCAAGGTCATTTCTTTTTTCTTTTCCCATTTTTCCTCTCTCTCTCTCTTTTTTTTTTTAATCTGAGGCCGATTCTGCTGTGCGTGCTCAATTACTCTTTATCTCATTCCTCACTCATTTTGGTCACATTTGCTGCCACTGACTGTCCTGTAACTACAGCTCTATACTGGCACCTGTTGATGAAAGCATAGCATAGCATATACATGCGCGCACACACAGACACACGGGAAGGGAGGGGAAAAAAAAAAAAAAAAGAGTCACGTAGCTGCCAATCCTGCCCATTGTTCATTTCGAGATAGATTCGAGGAGTAATTCTAATCTGAGGGGCCTCCAGCAGGCAATGAGTCAGTGTAAGATGATTTAGGTGTACACAGACACACACACAGATCACAAAAACACAAGGCACACACACCAATCTATCCACATATGCAGACCTTGGAAGCAAAATGTATTGAGGGTGGCTGATTTGAGGTGAAGAGAGTACACGCTTCTCAGCTCAGTCTGTGAAGGCCCAAATCTCCAGCTTTATCTCAGAGAGTATTGGTTAACTGATATGTATCAGAGTCTCATTATAATGGTCAGAGATAAGGCTGCATTGAAATAAAAGGTATAGGTCTGAAGCAAACGCTGTAAAAGTCATCAAAAATTGATAAAAATGTTCAGATTTTGGACAGCGTTACCCATGTGCCTCTAGAGTACATGAGTCTACAGTATAACAGTGTGCGTCTGAATGAGTGTGTGTTGCTTCTGTCCACTTACAGAAAAAGAAAAAAAGAGCAAGGTACAGATTAATGGAGCACTGATTGAAAGTAGCGATGGAGCAATGCGATACTCATATCGCATATCGGTCTGACACAGACTCAAATGGCTGTATCGTGCATCTGTGACAGCTGGCTGATGCACGAGGCCAATCCATTCAGTTAATTTCCTTTATTCCATAGCTGTGTTCACACATACACTGCAGCTCTGAAATGTTCTTGACATTAGCTTGCAGAGCTATATGTGGAAAAAAAAACTGCTCAATCTGGGCAACTACATCCACATCATAAGAAAATTTCCAAGCCTTTTTCTCAGTGAAGAATGCAGCTTATTAAGATCACTATCCGATTGGCTCATACACAATTAAAGCATCACCAACTCAAGTGTGAGCAACTACCTCTGAGTCATTATCCAAGCTACTGCTCTGCAGCAAAGTTACTTTATTTGCAGAAACATTCAGCGTGGTTAAAAATCTTTGATACAGGCAGATGGCCTGGGTATCAGTGAGTAGCGCTGCCTATTGTTTGTCAGTACAATAGCAGCAGACGTTACATTGACACAATTCGTTTTTTAATTCAATACGCATTTGTGACCTGATATGACTCAGATACTCTGTTATAACACAGTAGTACCACATAAATGTCTCCAGGAGTAAGTTACAATGTCTGATTCATTCTTCAACAAAACTCTGTTGTTCTGCTGCTTCTACAGTTGGTCGAGGTCACCCGCCCCAGCATCAGCACAGATGAAACACTAACAATTGCTACAGGGGCGACGAGACAGAGAGAAAAGGGTGGCCTGACTGGTCGCGCGTGTGTGTAGACGTTTCAAGCTTGAGTGTGAGACCAAAATGATCAAATGTACAGGCATTAAATCCGCTTTTCAATTTTATTTCTAAATGTGTAGTAGCATAAGTGCGTAGCATAAACTTTCTGTCAGCTTGGAGAGCGGAGATGGGAGCGCTGTGTAGCTACAGAATTGTCTGCTTTATGATGTGCTGTTGCCGTTTAGAGAAAGAGGTCGAAAGCACGGAGAACATGAATGAATCCCATTTCCATCTCCGTTTTTGAATTTTGTTCCATACTGACAGAAAACCTGAAGCCTGTCACCTTTTACAGCTGGATCAAAATCCCCACTGAGCAGAGTTCTATTGTAGCTCTGTAAATTTCCCAGAGTTCACGGCAAGACGCTACTCGCTGAAGCCCTTGTTAAGTTAAAGGGAATGACAGATGGAAAATCCAGCGCTTCCAGTGTTTATAACACAACAAGCCATCACCGACACACACACACCGACACACAGAGAGAGAGAGAGTGAGCTGCTCCTGACACTAACAACCTTAAGCAACCATTGGCGCTTGCATATGCCGCTGAATTTTTGACTATTGCTCGTTAGCAGCTGAAGCCTCACAGACCAGGATTTCTCCCTTTCCTCTGTTCTCGGGAGCACCTCACGTTCCTCCCACCCCTCAGTCTGATGCAGTGGGGTTTTTTTGTGCTAACAAGGAGAGAGTAACAATAAGGTGTGATAGGGGAAGGGCAGAAGTCAGAGGGCATGACACTCTTTGATAACAATGCTGACAGAAAGCAGCAGGGGAAAGGAAAACATGTGCGGATAAAGACCAAATCAAAACCCGTGCACGTTCGCACCGCCCACCTGTAACGCCAGAAGCTAGAGCGCTCCATCCTTGGACTGCGCATCAACCCTTGGCACTGACAGGGTAGGACACCCAGCACCTAGTTAGCTTAGTTAGAAGTCAGCATTGACCTTAACATGACGCCGGAGGATATCTTACGCAAACTTTCAAGAAAACAGACATTCAGTTCGTTCTTGATACAAGTTTACTGTGACATCATCTCAGAAAATCAGTTATAAGAAGCCAAAAAACAAAAAACATAAATATGAATAATAATTATAATTATAATAACAACCTTGAATTTACTTTATTTAGTCAAATTTAGTGCCCTCTTTTCATTTCAGCACACAGTGATTCCATTGTGAACTTATTGGCATGTTAGATTCACTCATAATTTGTACCCTCTGCTGTCACTTCAGTCTGCGGCTGTCACCGTGTGCGTGTGAAGGGGCGGAACAAGGCAGCAAGCGCGGCAACAGAAGAGAGACGGGGAGAAAAAGACGAGAGCGTTACTTGAGTTGATGACAGCCTGTTAGCATGCAAACAAAGGCGTCCCAGCAAGCGGTAATTCTTCTAAAACCAAACACGGCATGCACCGACAGACTCCACATCACGGGCGAAGCCGGTCCTAGAACGGCGGCAACGCTGCAGATGAGTTAAAGCTAAATCAGCCAGCAACACAGGACCTGTGTCACCCCTTCAGCTCTGAGGGAGATGAGCACCCCCAGGTGTCTGGTCACAGTCTCTTCCCCCGACCCCACCTCCATGCTGTTAGATAAGCTAACATACGTGGCGCGATAAGGGTCAATTTTAATGAGATTTCCACAGAAATCTACAAAGTAGTTCCCCCCAAAATTCAAAAACTTTCTGTTCACCCTTGTAAAATTTTAAAAACAAATTAGTTTGATGCAATATCTGATATAACATTTGGCTCACACGTCAGTCATGCCAAAATAAATTAATGACAAACAACAACACCTTTTGTCCTGCCAAAAACAATATACGTTTTCCACGGAAATGTTTCAAGTCAATGTTTTCACAGCCATCTGGTATATCAACTCAAGAACACTGTGTTAATTAAAAACTTAATCATCCAAATTTGCAATTCATAATGTCACGCACCAGAATTTAAATGACAAAGCAGCTCTTATCTACAGTGGAGTTTCAAAATTTCACAATAAGCAAATACCACAGCTCCCATGTTGCTGAAGATTTCTTAATATCATCTTGTCATAAATTGAGCGGCCGCAGTCACCGGAGACACCATCATTTTACGGTTTTACTTGCGCTCGGTGCTTAACGGGTATTTATTTCACACTCTGTCGTGATGTGATAAGTGTGCGCGCGTTTTTACAGCTGCAGGAGAAGATCGATGGAACAAACAGAAAGCAGGCACACTGCTTTTAGTTACCTTCATCAAAGTCAGCATCATCCTCTGTGTGCTGGGGGAAAGGGAAGCAGTTGGTGATCTCAAGTCGGTCGTCGACTACCAGGCCCAGCAGGACGCCCTGAACCACCTCACTGCCCTGGCCCTCTTCTTGGTAGTGCTTGATAATCTTCAGCACCACCTGTGAAAGAGGAAAAAAAAGAGCAACATTAGTGCTGCAGTAGAAAAGGAGGTTGATGATTCTTTATCCTGCTTTCAGTGGCATTTACTAAAAATTGATTTCATTTTCTGAATTGATAATATTTTATCCATCTTGTCGTTTATAGCATTTATGTAATTTCTTGCTATTGTTTGTTTTATGGTACCAAATACAGTTGTCTCCCTGCTCGTCATGTTGATTTGAGCTCATTAGTGTGAGTTGAGGATTTTCTGTGTGAGATGCTGTTTAAAAGTCACATGGATGTCTTCCTCTGTTCTTTGGCACATTATTTTTTAATCACAGTACAAACACACTGAACAATTTTCTTATTTTCAAATAGAGAATAATGTCTAACCTCTAGTGTACAGAAAAGTGGTTTGATTTAGTAAAAGAATGCAAATAAAGACACATGATAAAGGCCTGTGATTTACGCCTAGGAAATGTGAAAATAGGAACTTCCAGTTAAAGAATTTATGTTGTTATGATTGTAACGTGTAGTTAATATACTTTAGGTTGATTGTACAACTCTAGTCACTTTGTGGCTGAGAATATTGTCCCAGCAGAGCACATATGACACATTTCTCATCAGTTCCCCACCAAGAACAACCAACACAAGGCTTCTGATTTCACCAACACCCAAAGTGATATCAAGAGAAAAACCAAACAAAAACCACCCAAAAACAATGAGACTTCATGCATCACTAGAGTTTTCTCAGCTTATATACACAAACTAAAGTGTTAGCATTACTCATTACGCAAAAGAATTACAACAACGTAAATATGAATAGTAACCCGAGGTTTAACAGCTCTGAAACAGACACCAAATTTGTGCTGTAAACGTCCATGGTCTTGTGTTTTTTCCTTGGAAAAGGTTAAAAACAGGTGCAGCAGTGTTTAGCATGAAGCATGCTAATCTGCAAATTAGTCATATGCTCATGTTACCAATTCTCCATAGTTCTCCATGTGAAACTGCTGCACCTGGCTAGCACGCTAATCGTGCTTATTGTTTTCAAAATTCAATGCATTAAGAGTGAGCAGGAAACACTTCAGTATTAAAGCAATCAGTTTTGCTCTTCGGGATTTTTATTATGCACATTTTGCTGTGGAGACTCCAAACACACACTAAACGATAACACCGAAGATAAATCCTGCTCTATAATGAGTGTCACACATACATCCAGACAGCTGTGTGCACCCTGCAGCTCAAAGAATAATGATCTAGGGCCTGTATTCAGTTGTGATGGATCACAAGGATGAAATGGATGTGTAGATGTGACATAAATAATATCACACTGCTCTGGAAACAGTTCCATTTTTTTGGTAGAAACAAGCGGTTGTCGTCTGCTTGTGTAACTTTCGAGGTGCTGATGCTTGATATGGTTAAGCCCCCCGTAGCTATTACACACTTTCCCTCTGGAAAAACTATTACAAGTTGAAAAATCATGTTGTTGCACTGACAGGTGCACAGCTCAGGTTCAATACAGTTTTAACTGGGTGGTGACGGGCACAGCTACTCGTTATCAGCCCGGTCTGTAGTTCTCCTGATAGAGAGACAGAGAAGTCTACTTTTTTTGGGAGTGGGATGAGGGGTGAATTTGCATGACATTGGCTCATTACTCTGGTAGGAGGAGCCTAAAACCCTGATCATATCAACAATTCATACTAATCCCCTAATGAAGCTACAATATTGCGAAACTGGGAGTTAAAAACAAAAATATTAATACAGCAAAGCATCAGGAAATTCTGTGTGACAATGCATGATACTGACACAGGGACACTAAATACTGATATTTAATGTAAAAACTCAAAATACTCTGAGAGTACTATGAAAAAGAGGGCTATCTCATGCACCACTATCCTGAGATACCAGTAATAAGTGACGTATTTTGATATCAACAGGCTTTCTGGTGATTCCTAGCGAGATGTGAAATTGTGTAGTAAAACAGGTTTGGGGGGAAAAAAATATAACTCCTCTAATACTAAAACTAGAACATTTCTAAACAAATTCTGGAAAATTTATAAGAGCTCTCCCAATAGACAGCTGAGCTTAGGTCTGTTGCCTCAGAGCAGTCTTCTTATTGTCCCTGCGCCTATGTGGGGTTCCTCTGGTGCTTTAGTCTCCTCCCACACTCCACAGATGTGCATGTTAAGTTAATTAATGATTCTAAATCCAATGTAACCCAATGATCAACTTGCAACCAGTCTAGGGACCCCCACATCACAACAAAAACACCACTTACTTTGGTAACAGATTGCATAATGAAGCATTCTGCACTCTTCACTGGCCACTAAGCTCTTACATAAAAACCACAAAATTGTCAAAAAATAACCATTGTTATGTTAGGAGAAATTCTCGGACAAGTTACTAAGGCAATCACTGACTGTGGTTGAGTGCTGGAGCCCGCTGTGGTAAGCACCACCTGCAGGCTCAAACACTGGTGCATCACTGATCTTGAGTGTGTACAAAAGGGCAGTTAGTATTCAGTGCAGCTTAGCAATTTACACTGGAGAGCGAAGAGGCGGCACACATAAAATTTTCAAGAAAAATGCCATCCTTGTACAGTGGGAGGGTATATTTGGACTCGTACTCCGATATCCCACATAATCGTGCTTCATCTGGACAGAGTGTCCATGCATCATCGTATGCATTTAATTTTTAATGCCAGATAAAAATGGGCCGATAGGACAAAGCCTCCGAATGATTCAGGAGTGGGTTTAAGCTCTAATGCTGTGATACTGACACCAAGGACGGCGGAGGAAAAACTATCGCACATGCACAATACAAACATGTGGCAGGCATACTGACAAGCAAAAAATAAATAAATAAAAAACTGAAAAGCAATGGCAGAGAGCAGAGAAGGTAAAGCGTCTAAATGAACAGGAACAGGACAAAAAGCTGAAAAGCGCTGTGTGGAGGGGGAGAGCATAAATCACGCTGATAACAGTGTGGGCAGGTCACAGCCAGAGGCATTAATAATACACACATACACATTCACACATAGGAGCAGGGTGGCAGTCCTAAAGCCATGCTCACAACAAAAGAGCCAACACCACCATAAGGGAGCCCTCGCTGGTCTCGGGCAGCTGCTCGTGCACGCGCAAACATACACATACACATGCGTGCTTGTCCGGGGAGATGATTTATTTCAATAGAGCCCTGGCTCTGTCATGCAACAAGTAAAAAGAGCTAGAGGCGGGAGAAGAAAAACCAAATGGGTTGGAGTGGAGAGAAAAACAAATCTCATTCCCTGCCTGCCTGCTTTGGCATTTTTGACTGAGAGGGCAGGAAGGTCTGAGCAATAGGTCGGTGAAGAGAGACACGGGCGGAAAGGGAAGGAGAAACAGCAAAATAACTGAGTGGGAGCGCGATGGAGGGGAGCAAGGTGGCGGAGCTGGGTAGCGAGGAAATGCAATAGTGCAAATGTGAAACGGAGAAACAGGTGGATGAAGGAACGGATGACAAAAAGAAAGCAGTGGGGCAGTAGGTGAGGTGTAGCAAAGAGAGCGAGGAAGAATAAGAAGGAATCCGGCAGGGGAGAGGAGGGCTACAGTCGAAGTCTCCAGGAACAGTGGCATTGGCTGCTTTACCCTGTCCCCGGTCCCCTTTGAGCTTTGGCTCCTTTTTCCATCAGCAAATAGCTTTTCTAGTCTCCCTCCATCATTGAGAGCAGATAGCAACGGATACACAATGCTTTCAGCTATCTAGCTCTTGGCGATCTGCTCATCGCACACTTAAACAGCATCTGTCTGGAAAAGGGAGGAGGCGAGAGATGGACAGTCGGCCAAAAACAACTCCAACAAGGTCAAACAAATAGGGCTAAACACGATGGGGGTTTAAAAAAAAAAAAAGAAAGAAAGAAAGAAAAAAAAAAGGGGGGGGGAGAAATCCTGAATCCACAGAAATGCTTTAAAGACAGGAAGCAAAGAGGCATCTGCACTACAAGAAAAGGAAG